CCGATCGGAATCCATTCCGATTATTTCCATAATAGGTACCCAGGAGTACGTTCGGAAACCTATTCCCCAGGGTAGGGGTTAACTTGTCGAGGAAACGTCAAGTGACCACCTGGGTAAATATGGCAGTCGATGAGAAATGAAAACCTGCTGAACGGTGGGGGTAAAGATCGAGGGAAAAAAATGGCAAATTCCAAAAAAAAATATGATTATTGCTACTGCAATAGTTATGGGGACACAAATGATAAAAGATTGTGAATATTCGGAAACGTCTTCATCAGATAGTGAAATTGAAGAATTATTAAAGGTTAGTTATTGCAGTTTAAGGTTAGTTACGTATATTATTATTAGTTTATGCAGAATGTTTTATATTATAATATTTGCTTATTATAGAAGTTCACTAAAAAGAAGATACAGTGTATTGAGGGATATATTGAGAGAGTTGTATCAAATTATATAAATCATGAATTCCAATCTCACTTTTGGATTACACGTACCACATTTGAAGTTTTTATTGACAATTCTTGGTCCAAACTTGGAAAATAATTTGAACATTGGTAGGCCAACAACGTCAGTAGAGAAGCAATTGCTTTCAGTGATTTGGCTGTTAGCAACTCCTGATTCTTATCGGTATGTATTCGAACGTGTAAAATATACGTATAAATATTTATCTATTTACTTTGTACAAACATTATAACGATTGAGAAAATAATACAAATATTTCTTATCTGCTTTATACATAAATTATTTGAATAGGAATCTGAAAAAATCTATAAAAAAATTATTTCCATTATTCTAATAAAACAAGTTATATAACAAATCTATAATCATAAATTGTTTCTACAATTTCGGGAAACTTCCTAGTTGTCCGAACTTTCCACCAACTTTTGTATACTACTATGATAGTGTTTTTATATTATTATAACAGTTGTAATTTGAACAATTCATAAGTATTGTTCTGTATTTCTGTAGACAGGTCTGTTGGAGAAAGATTTGATATTAGCAAATCCACCTTGTTCGCTTGCTTTGAGCGTGTAATTGATACTTTAAATAGTGTATCTTCTAAAGATATTTGTTGGCCAAGGCAAGAAGAACTTGTAAGAATAAAAGAAAAATTTAAAGCAATGGCTAATATTAATGGTGTTTTTGCAGCAGTTGATGGAACATATGTGCCAATAAAAGCATCCTCGGAAAATCCAGACGTTTATATTACGCGTAAGTGTCAATATGCCATAATACTACAAGTAATGTGTGATTCTGATATGAAATTTGTTGATTGCTTTGTAGGTTACCCTGGCTCTGTTCATGACGCTAGAATTTTTCGAAATTCTAATATATATCACTTAATATGTGAAAATGTTAATAAATATTTTCCCGGGAATGAATTTATTGTAGCAGATAAAGCTTATCCGGTTTTAAAATGGTGTATTCCTCCAGACATTGATTGAGGAAATTTAACGAGAACGCAACGTCATTTTAATGAGTCAGTGTCGAAAAATAATTGAAAGAGCATTTGCTTTATTGTTTGGAAGATTCCGACGACTAAAGTATCTTGACATGAACAGAGTTGATATGATGGCTGTAACAGTTACAGCTTGCTGTATATTGCATAATATATGTATAGATAATAGTGATGATTTATTGAATGAATATATAAATGAAGGAATGAGAGAGAGAGAATAATGTACAAAATGAAAGAGAAGAAATTAGAGGAATGGAAGATAGAGAAATTGCTAACAGTCGACGTGATGTTCTATGTAGAGAATTGTATCGAAATATTGAGTAATATTATATATATATATAACAGTATATATAAACAAAAAGTTTAAATAAAATATAGAGTATATTCTAAATGAAGTATATGTTTGTCATTTCCGTTATTTGTAAGACTCTGAAATCATAAAATAGAAAGAAATTTAACTTTTAATTTTACAATTACATTTTTTTATTAACTTAACTTTTAATTCAATTAATTTCATTATACATTAACTTGTATCTTAACTAAGTTAAATTTTCAAGGTTGTTAACTTTAACTTAA